TATTTATCATTCGCGCGATCACTGAGACATCACTGAACAGTTGTCGTGTGGTCATCATAATGAAGTCAACCTCATTTTATGTCGAACCGTCGGGGCTCGAGCAGGTCAACGTCCTGAATTATCAATACCGTCGAAACAAATGTGAATAATTTAAAATTAAACATTTTATACAAACGAGTTCAATATTAATATATATATTCAACATTATTAAGAATAATTCAAAAACTAATAGTCGGCCTTCATCGAATTATGAGATATGTGGGACCACATGTGAAGTACCAGCTTTCAAATAAAAAAGAAGAATCGAAATCGGTACACCCAGAAAAAAGTTATGAGGTAACACAGGTTTTTTATGTAAAAAAAGAAAAAAAAACACAGTCAAATTGAGTACCGTCTCCTTTTTTTAAAGTCCGTAGAAAAAAAGGAACATACAGTCGAATTAAGTACCTGCTCTTTGTTTCATACTATGTAGAGAAGCCTGTTATTAAAAATTTGCACATACATTTCATTAAACATAACATCAGTCTTTTATAAATCTGATATTTAAATATTCCTTTGTTAGATTTCCTAGACTTTATTACATAACGGTATAACTATTTAAAATAGCATGGTAAAATTTTGAGGGCACCGTTGGAAATATATTATGTGGACCTGTCAAATGTCGTTATACAAATTGAGTCTGTCTGAGTACACGAGGTAACATGCGGTACATTCTAGCGAGGTCCATAGGTATTTCCGACGGGTTGTATTTACCAAGCCTGTCAACACAGAATATATAATAATGTTGCTAAGATTATTTATTTTTAAAATATGGTGAGTATTATATCCAACAATGAACGTATATTATTTGAAGTAATTATTTAAAAAATTAAAATAACTTTAAAATGATATTATGCATTAAGTGTATGATTAACTGATGAACAGTATGTTAAGTGTATGCATTAAGTGTATGAATGCTTTAACAATCACCAATCTTTGTGTATTTTTTTTTAGTAAAGTTATCTATTTTTTGATTTTATTAAGTAAACAAATTACGAGGTTGGCTAAATCGAAAAACCATGGAAGTATGTTCATACTTCTTTAAAAGGATCTTGAATATCGGCTGTTTGTGTACAAATCAATTTTGCCTGTAAATATTTTGTGAGCGGTTGAAGTAAATCACTTTTTTGTTATATCTAAACTAAATAGAACGCTCTAGGTAAAGTAGGAATAGAAAGAGTAACCAAATATTTTACATACTTGTGTATGTACGAAAGGAATCCGACTTAAGAAACGAATAATTTGAAATACAGAAGAGATATTCTCCAGGACTGTATTGACAAGAATTCTTTGAGATGGATTTTGGATTTTAAGTGCTTTTTTACTAAAATTTTCTCTGCTTTAACATTAGTTCAATATACAATTGGGGATTCCGAGGAAACGTTTTCATATCTAGACACCTTAATACAAAACAGTCACAAAAAAGTATGGTTTGCAAGATGACATTGTGACCAGAATATAAAAAAGAATGCTTCGGTGGTTTGGCCATGTAGAAAGAAGGAACGAGGAAACAGTGACAAAGCAAACGTATCTTGCAGAAGTGTACGGTACAGTCTGGAAGGGACGCCTTAGACGAAGGTTTATCAACCAAATTGGCGATATATTGAAAAAGGGCTAGATTAGGAGTCCCCTTAACCGACGTGCATATATGCGTAGATATATGGATGTATAGGAGGCGAGAGAGGTGTGTCAGGATCATGCCAAATGGAAGTCCGTAGTCTTTGCTTTCCCTTCTGGATGACAGGCGTGAGTGTTTATGTATATTATGTATTTATGTATGTAGTCACAAATAAAATGTAAATTAATTTAAATTTACTTTTATTATTTTAAATTACTAATCACTTACTAAAACAACTGAAATTACTAAAACTTCTTACTGAATCCAATTTTTATTTTAGAAATTCAACATAGTTTTCGCAATAAATTACTGCAAAAGAATTCCAATGGGATTGCTTCCAACAATGATCAATGTTGCTGCTCTATTAAACTGAAATTGCTTTTTTAATCTAATAATTGGATACGGAGATTAAAAATTCTTGAACACAAGGAGATCTTATAATTTCTTTATCACAAAGTTATTATTTTTATAAACTTATTTAAACTTTATTTTTTATTTTAATACAACTTTATGAAAACTTATTTATATAAATAATCGAAATTTGATTTATAGCAATAAAAACTATTTCATAAAGAGTCTTAAATTACTTACTAGATACTTTCGTTACTTTCGCTAAGGACTTCTATTCTACTCATCTGAAATGACATTTATACCGCTATGTATGTAAAGCTGTCTGTCTTGTCGGTATTCTTTATAAGTTGACTTTTAGTACTTTTTATAGCTTCAGCAGTTTAGTAGTTTTAGAAGCAAGATGGGTTCTAGTGGTGCGTTCGCAATAACCTGTAACAGTTATAGAATAGCTAAAGAAGAGAATAATATACTAAAATTAAATCTTTTGATCAG